GAAACTCTGCCAAAACTATAATAAATCTATAGTAAAATTTTAACAAAACTAATCGTAAGATTTTGAAGAGGTTTAGACAAGCAACCTTATGCTCCCTCCATGTAACTCTAGTGAACCGGCTATGCTGATATCTCCTAAAACATAAAAAAAAAAAAAAAAAAAATAATAATAATAATAATAAAAAAAAATAATAACAACAACAATAATAATCTCCCAAATTTGGTTCTTGATATGGAATAAATTCACATGAACCGAATAAATTATTTAATATGTTACAAAAAAAAAAAAATAAAAATAAAGTTTTATTTAATCAGTTTTAATCGGTTTTATAATTCCGTGAACTTCTATCATAGAAAAAAAATATTATTTCCATTTTAAGGATTGAGTTGTTCTACCCGCGTTTTAAATTATTTGAATTCTAGATTTTTACGGTAACTTTAATCTCATACATCCTTTTCCCCCTAAGAGTATCACAAAAAATCCAAAATTATCCTTTTCATTTAGTAATCAGTTTGCACAAAATGATTTTGAAAGAATCCTTTTTTAAATAAATAATAAATTTAAAAAAAAAATGAATTATTGAGGACTTGGCGTTTTTTTTTAAAAAAAAATATTCTTTTCATTTTTCGTAATCTTCATTATTAAATTTAAAAACCGTAATCTATTAATCTTTTAGCAATTAACTGAACAAAATTTTTAAAAATTAACCATATATGTGCATAATAGTAACGACTTGCACGTGATTCACATAGAATTTAGCGCAATATTCTACACACGTGATAATTGGACTCTAGTGAAACCAACTAAAATTCTTACGCGTAAAGTTTAGTAAACGCGACCAAAGAAAAAAAAAAATATTAGTACATTGTTTTACCGTAATAGAAATTCAAGTCGTACAACCAAATTTATCGAAAACCTATGAAACTTCAATCTTATTTTATATCATGAAAAAATCATTTTTAAAAAAAAAAAAGAGAGATAGAATAAATGATAGATATCATACTAGATTATATAAACAAAAAATAAAGGTATCTTCTGGATTCAGAAGTACTTTTTTTTGGAAAGAAATGAATGTCCTTGCAGAAAAAAAAACCCTCCCCTAAATGCTCATAGACCAATTGCGTATATTTTATCAAGAGTTTGTTTTTGTCGATAAAGTGTACCCATTCTATGAAAAAAGATGTGATGAAATCGAAAGTCAGTATATTTCTTTAATTTAATAAATGTATAAACGAACAATCAATCATATTTACCTTTTCTCTTTTTCTAATTCCGCGTTCAAATATACGCAGGTTTGAGTTAGACGATTGATTTCATCAAGAAGAAATGACTCCTTTCTTTGCATATTTTTCATATGTGAAACGGCTATATATAAAAAAATATTTATTATTACACGCCCAAAATAAAAAAGAAACGCGTAGATTCAAATTAAATACCTTTTTGTAACAAAACGGCTTTACTCAATTTACGACCAGTATAAGTTGTCGGAAGTTGTCTGCGAAGTTCTTCGAATCCATCTTTGATTTCAGCACGTCGTTTTTGTTCTGATTGAATATGTATTTGACGCCGAAACTCAACCTGTGACATTGTACTATTTTGGGTACAAGGTAATATTAGATGATTGCAACTATAATTTAATTGAAAAAGAGAAAAAAAAAATGTGAAATCACAAAGAATTTACAACAGAAAATGTCGCGTCATATCTTTTTTTAAGTCCAAGAAAATTTTGAAATTGATACTTGCCTTACATTATCATCAACATCATCACCACCATCCATCGACGATGTTTCACATTGCTCATCACGTGTTGATTTTCTCCGTCGTTTACAACCTGACTTTGCACTTTCATATTTTTCTTTACTATATTGAAAAAATTCTGGAACATCCAACTCATCAGCAGTTGGAGAATCACGATATTCAAGTAACGAAAGTGGTGATGAAGGTGAATGAGAGGGAGAAATTATTTGAGAGACTTGTGATGGTTGTGAATTATCAATAGAATACATGTTTAATGATAAAGTTGGATTCATGCTCAATGGAAGGGGTGGAGGAGCAAAAGTAACCGAGGATACTGGAACCGTAGGTACTGACGCCGGTGGTGGACAAGTGAAAGTAAAATCTAATTCACGAGGACATATTTTTAAATAGAACATCGAGAAAAAAAAATCTTTATTTAGGATAGGATTTATCATAAGTTTCGGGTAAGACTTTTTATAGAAATATTTTAAAATGTCAAAAAAAAACATAAACTTTTGTCCCGAAGAAAACATTTATTATTTTTCAGAAACTCAATTACTTTTGGCACACTTCTTTGTTTCATTTTTTAACGTTAAACTTTCTCGAATTTCGCGTAACAATATTCCCAAAAATTATATAAAACGAATGAAATAGTACCTGAATTGATTACCACGGGAGTTTGAACAACGGTTTCAGGTGGAAAAACAAAAGCCGTGGAGGCGGAAGTAAAAGGCTGTTGGTGATGCATATTGAATAAAATTTTTTTTTTTTTTTGGCGCGAAAGCTTGAAAACAAAAAACGTAAGAAATAATTTCTTTTTGGAGATAAGCAACGAGGGTGTTTTTGTTTTAATAACAATAAGATAAAAGTTGCTCTTTTTTCTCACACAAAAAAGTTACTTTTTTTGATTATTGTTTATTATTATTAAATAGAATAGATATGGTGTTTTTAATTTCTATTCTATAATTGTTTTTTCTAAATTATTATATTAAATCGTTAAAAAATTAAACGGAAAAGCGGAAGTTATAAACCGTGATATGGAAGAATTATGAAAAATTTATGGAGGAAAAGTATTGGTGATTGATCAAATTAGGGAATGGTTTATGAGGTGAAAATTATTTATCGTTCTTTCTTGCCAGAAAAGAAAAAAGGATGTGTAGGAAGAAAAAACCTTCAAGACGGTGATGAATTCAAGTGTATTTATCCGTTTTTCAGAAGATTTTTTTTTTTCAATCTAAGGGGACTGTATTTAAAAGGGCCCAAAATTTTTTTATACTATAATAAATAGCATATAAATAATAAATAAAAATTTTTTGTCCCCCAATTTTCGCAATTTCCGTCACAAGAAAAATTTTTTTTTTTTTATTTATTTTTTTTTATCTTATGTGGTACCCTTCTCTTTTCTAAAAACCCAAAATCTTATTATTTATATATATATTAGTTTAAAAAAAAATTTTTTTTCTCATCAATATAATTAGATATAAATAATTTTTTTTTTTTTTTTTTTTT